CGTGTGCATGTGTGTGTGTGGTGCAGGTACTCAATGTAAAGGGAATCTCAGTTAAATGAACAACCTCTCTTGCTCCTCTCTTTCCATTTGTTAACCCGTAATGGACAAGGCTTACATCTAATGAGGTGTAATTTGCATGTAATTTCGACTATACGGTCAACCAGCACAACAGAAAACAACTTGATCTCCCTCTGGGTTGAAAGGTCCTATTACACAAAGCACTCCAGTGAAGAACCTCGCTTATTTTAGCTGGTGAATAGTTGATTGATGGTAAAAAAAAAAAGAGAGCGAGCACATGCAATGCTCAAAATTAACTGCTCTCTGTGCCTCATTGTTGTCATTGTATTAACTGTTGCAGAAAAGATGGATCATTTGTGGATACAGACACTCTCTTTCTTTTTCTACACAGGGTGCTTGGAAATTGACAATGTGGTAATTAATTTTTTTTGTTTTGTCATAATACAGTTTTTTCAACTGCTTACACACAAAATCTTTATTTGTCACACAGTTTCTGAAACCTGACACTCAAACACCTGAACCACACACCAAATCTGCAAAACCATACACTAATTCTCTGCCTTTGACTCAGTTTTCAATTTCATAAAACACTTTTTGCAAATCACAACACACAATTCTCTATGTAACACACAATGACAGGAATTAATATTATGGCAAAGGTGTTTGCGTTTGAGATGTGTTTGTGACATTTTGAATGCAGTGCTTAATTTTGCAAGAGAAGTGAAGGCATTTTGCATTTTGTGTGTGCAATTCTTGGATTTGTATGTAAAGTTTTGAAAAAAAAAAAGAGGCAAAGTTTTGAAAATGTGTGTAAGCAGTTAGAAAAAAACTGTAAGCCATAAATGGTCTTCTTGCTGCTATAGTGCTGCTAAAAAACCTGTTCATCTGCCTCATTTCCTGTGCTGCTCAAAAACACACCACAGGGGGGTGCCAGGATATTTAAACACTTGGATTAACAAACAAATCTGAAGACATTTACATCTACAGTATTTTTAAATGTCATACTTCCAAAAAGTGTTTGAATATAATATTCAAATGTTATATTATATGTACATATTTGAATATTTGAGTCTCTCAGCGTGCCAAAATCAAACTGCATTATTGCATCCAATTGACAACGTTGTCTGCTTGATTTTTGAAAGTGTATGAACTGTGTACATGCCTTCAGAATGTTCTCTGAAAGAAATATTACATCTCAAAATAATCTACACTGTTACTACACTAATCTACACTACACTGTATATAATTTTATACTATAGTTATTATAGTACTATTTTTACAAAGCTCATCGGTCTGAAAAGCGAGATGTGCTCTGATTGGCCAGCTATCCAGTGCGTTGTGATTGGCCGAATACCTCAAGCGTGTTGCGTTACTGAGATTGTAACGAGTAATAATATTACCCAAATTTGATTAGTAATGCGTTATATTACTGCGTTACAGCAAAAAGTAATATACTACTGTAATATTATTACTTTTGTAATGCGTTACTCCCAACACTGTTGCACAATATAAACATGCTTATTACAGAAATCCAAAACCTTTCTAAGAATGGAAAGCAGTAAGGTCATCTCAACTGACAAACCTACAGTTGTCATCGAAGTAAATCCACAGGTGATACAAGACACTGTTATTTTTTGTTGATGGTCATGAGGCCGGAGGATAAAATCACAATACGGCTCTTAAAGGATTTTTCAAAGCACAACCAAAAGCACTGGGGGTAATGCATTTAATGATGAATTATAAAATATGGTTTTGGGAATGTTCTGAGTATTTAATCTCTTCTAGATCACTGTATCCAAACACACATTTTATGCCATCATGAATAAAATACCTGACCTATGTGTGCCCTCTAGACTGTCCAGATAATGATTGGAGCGATGGTCGCGATGGTCTGTATTGTACTTACCTCCAATGTCTACAGTTATTCTGCAATTCTTGACTATAGTGGCATAAGTGGCATAAGGTCCCTTATTGTAAGTTTTATTTAATGGTTTTGCTTTATTGCTTCTCATTTTAATTTCCAGAATGACCTTTAAATGTCCTTTGTTTGTTTTTCTCAGTACATCAGTGCTGGCTCTTTGTCTGTCGCTGCGCAGAATAAACATCATCCATGTGTGGTATGTACATAACCCCGACTGATTCGGCACGTTATAACACATTGTTTTTAATGTATGTTCCCACTAGTATTAGTTATAACTGTGCACTTTAAATCACCTCAAGCTGTCATAAATGCAGAAGTTCAGATATCATCTATTAGCAAAGATTGGTTGTCTCATTTTAGCTTGTAAAGCTACTGCTGGTAAAAGGACCAAAAAACTGGACCAGTGATCAAGATTGCAACTAAATTTGCATAAACTAAACGAAAGGCTTGGGATAGTTGTAAGAGTTTTTGCTTTAACGTCTGTAACCCAGTGTTTTGCCCAATGTATGTCTAACTTTGATATGTTTTCCTATTTGTCTGTTCCAATTAGCTGTTTTAAATGTAAATCTCCAACATATCACTATGTAGATTAGAGTCTTTAAATGCAATTAGAGTCTTTCAAATTTACTTCAGAATTATTATTATTATAACATCCACTTTGTTGGTCCAGTAGAAGTAAATGGGAAAAGATGTTATACAACCCACCCCCCAAGACTTTATTTTTTTTTTAAGTAGGTCTCCCCTACTTAAAGGTAATTGTAAGTTTCAAGCCTTTTCAATGATCTGTTCTTTGAGTATTAGAAAATACTCCTAGTGGTCTGAAACTAGTACATTCTGTTCCTGCAGGTGAAAGCATCTCTTGGAATAAATGTGTTCAGTGCCATAACCGCAGGGATGGCCATTCTTCTGATGGGCATACAATTAGCATTAATATCAATGGATCATCCAAGTTTATATGTTGAGGTATTATATTCACAATGTGCAATATTTTGTATTCAGGTTTAATTGTGCATTAATTTGCTTTTAGTTTTTTAATAGCTGTTATTTACTTAAAGGCACAGTTGAAAATTCTGTCATTATTTACTCACTCGTATATGACTCCAAACCTGGATGCGTAGAACACAAATCGAGAAATTCTGAAGACTGTACTGGTCACTCTGTAACATACAATCACACTGACTGGGGGCAAGACATTTGAAGTTATCACAAAAGCAGTCCATATGATCTGTGCCCAATATTCCAGGCCATAAGATAGCTTTGTGGGAGAAACAGGCTGAGAATTAAGTCATTATTCACTGAAAATTATTAATATTAATATTTTTAAAGCTAATTGTTTTAGTAATTGCATGTATTTTTCAGTTCACAAAACCATTCAGCTTTGTCCATGAATCTGACTTATCCTGTTTCTCAGTTTCAAGATCAATTACAAATAACCATCATCTTTTGACATTTTGTGATCTTTCATACCAGCAATTGTTTTGTAATTGCATGCATTTTTCAGTTCACAAAACCATTCAGCTTTGTCCATGAATCTTGAAATCGCATCATATGACCCCTTTAATAGTTTTACAAAAACAAACCAGACATCATCATCATCATCATCATCATTATTATTATTATTATTATTATTATTATTATTGGCCTGTTTAAAATGCATATGCAGATATCTTAATAATGCATTCTATTTAGCCAGGAGAAACAAATATTATCTGTCATCAGGTGCCAGTTATTCTGCGTTGAACATTATCTTTCACCAAAGTGCTTTGTGTTTTAAGACGAAGGTGGCCATTAACAGAAAGTTTCTACTTAAAGCAAGCCCCTCCTTAACTGTTCTTTCAGATCAGAGTCAACACACACAAAGATACAAAAAGAGTTACCAGACATCAACTAATTTCATTTCAGGTAAGATATTTTATAAATCGACATCAATGTTCTTTTTTATATTGTGTGCTTACTGTATATACATTTTTTTTTTTTTTTTACAAAATATCTTTTTAGTGTAAGTTGTTGCTCATTTATTGTGTGGTGCTAAAAACTAATTTTAAATGTTTTTTGATTTGTTAGAACATTAGGCTGGACAAAGGTATCTTTGTCAAAAGCTATTTAGCAACACTAAAAAATTAGTGCATTTGGAACAGTAAAAGTCTAAAAAAAATGGTAAAAAACTATTATTTGGTTAAGGGTAAATTCCCTTACGCTATACAATGAACTGTAATAAATCGAATAGGACATTTAATGTAATTTTATAGTAAAATATTGTTCAATTTATGAAAGTGAAAATGACCAAGTAATTCTATAATTTACAGTGAAAGACCATAAATTGACATTCCCAGAACTGCCTGTGACACTTCACATTTGCTGTTTTTACATTGAAATTACTATATTTCCTGTTAGTTCTTCTTACATTTTATGTTCCATCTCATTATGTTAAATTAATGTTTATCACATTTTTTAATTGTGTCATCTGTGTTACCATGATGGTGTCGTGCACCTACTATTTGTTACTATTTACCTCAGCTTGTGGAAAATCTACTTGTGATGAGCTTTGATTCCTCATGTGGCTTTCTCATTACCATCTCTGTTTTTGTTGGTTGCCAGTGTATTACAAAGATATGAAATAGAATTTAGTACTTCAGTAGGTTGTTATTTGTCTATGTATGCATGTATTTATTTATTTTTGCAGTGTATTTTTGTCTTCTTTAACTAGTCATAATTTCTCCTGTATGCAAAGACCTTTGTTCACATTTCTTATTGAACTTGCACAACAGTGTTGGGCAAGTTACTTCCAAAATGTAATACATTATATATTACTAGTTATTGTCTTTTGAAAGTAATTAGTTACATTACAATATTACTCTCTCTGAATTGTAATGCATTACACTACTTTTGAGTTACTTTTGAGTTACTTTCATCCAAAATATCCACATAAGTATTGTAAAATGCCAAAATGTAGTTTAATGCTGCTCATTCTACATCCAGTGGAGGGTAATGTGGTAGGTCTATATAGCATAAAATATATGAAATCATATTTAGATACCGGTATGTAGGTCTACATTAATGTTACGATCACAATACGGCTCTTAAAGGATTTTTCAAAGCACAACCAAAAGCACTGGGGGTAATGCATTTAATGATGAATTATAAAATATGGTTTTGGGAATGTTCTGAGTATTTAATCTCTTCTAGATCACTGTATCCAAACACACATTTTATGCCATCATGAATAAAATACCTGACCTATGTGTGCCCTCTAGACTGTCCAGATAATGATTGGAGCGATGGTCTTCATACTTGGTATTGTACTTACCTCCAATGTCTACAGTTATTCTGCAATTCTTGACTATAGTGGCATAAGCTACTGGGGGTCCCTTATTGTAAGTTTTATTTAATGGTTTTGCTTTATTGCTTCTCATTTTAATTTCCAGAATGACCTTTAAATGTCCTTTGTTTGTTTTTCTCAGTACATCAGTGCTGGCTCTTTGTCTGTCGCTGCGCAGAATAAACATCATCCATGTGTGGTATGTACATAACCCCGACTGATTCAGCACGTTATAACACATTGTTTTTAATGTATTTTCCCACTAGTATTAGTTATAACTGTGCACTTTAAATCACCTCAAGCTGTCATAAATGCAGAAGTTCAGATATCATCTATTAGCAAAGATTGGTTGTCTCATTTTAGCTTGTAAAGCTACTGCTGGTAAAAGGACCAAAAAACTGGACCAGTGATCAAGATTGCAACTAAATTTGCATAAACTAAACGAAAGGCTTGGGATAGTTGTAAGAGTTTTTGCTTTAACGTCTGTAACCCAGTGTTTTGCCCAATGTATGTCTAACTTTGATATGTTTTCCTATTTGTCTGTTCCAATTAGCTGTTTTAAATGTAAATCTCCAACATATCACTATGTAGATTAGAGTCTTTAAATGCAATTAGAGTCTTTCAAATTTACTTCAGAATTATTATTATTATAACATCCACTTTGTTGGTCCAGTAGAAGTAAATGGGAAAAGATGTTATACAACCCACCCCCCAAGACTTTATTTTTTTTTTAAGTAGGTCTCCCCTACTTAAAGGTAATTGTAAGTTTCAAGCCTTTTCAATGATCTGTTCTTTGAGTATTAGAAAATACTCCTAGTGGTCTGAAACTAGTACATTCTGTTCCTGCAGGTGAAAGCATCTCTTGGAATAAATGTGTTCAGTGCCATAACCGCAGGGATGGCCATTCTTCTGATGGGCATACAATTAGCATTAATATCAATGGATCATCCAAGTTTATATGTTGAGGTATTATATTCACAATGTGCAATATTTTGTATTCAGGTTTAATTGTGCATTAATTTGCTTTTAGTTTTTTAATAGCTGTTATTTACTTAAAGGCACAGTTGAAAATTCTGTCATTATTTACTCACTCGTATATGACTCCAAACCTGGATGCGTAGAACACAAATCGAGAAATTCTGAAGACTGTACTGGTCACTCTGTAACATACAATCACACTGACTGGGGGCAAGACATTTGAAGTTATCACAAAAGCAGTCCATATGATCTGTGCCCAATATTCCAGGCCATAAGATAGCTTTGTGGGAGAAACAGGCTGAGAATTAAGTCATTATTCACTGAAAATTATTAATATTAATATTTTTAAAGCTAATTGTTTTAGTAATTGCATGTATTTTTCAGTTCACAAAACCATTCAGCTTTGTCCATGAATCTGACTTATCCTGTTTCTCAGTTTCAAGATCAATTACAAATAACCATCATCTTTTGACATTTTGTGATCTTTCATACCAGCAATTGTTTTGTAATTGCATGCATTTTTCAGTTCACAAAACCATTCAGCTTTGTCCATGAATCTGACTTATCCTGTTTCTCAATTTCAAGATCTGATCCCATTGCAGGAAATACAAATTTATTATTTAATAATACTTATTTTATTAAGTAAATAAAAACATGCATATCAGTCTGTTCCTCACACAAAGGCATTTATAAGGCTATATATATATTCTTATTGTTGAGATACTCTCAACTCTCATAATTAGCTCAAAATGATTCCTGCTTCAATATACTTTTTGTTCAATTTTTGTAGTATTTTACTATGAGGGTCATTGGAATATTGCTGGTGTTCACCATTCCTCAGTTCATCATCTCCATCTATATCTCAGCATTTGCCTGCAAAGCCGCCTGCAACAAAAACTCCACAGTGGTCAATGTGCACTAAACTAGGTAAATGATTTAGTGGTAATGATGCTATTATTGCTATTACGAGCTTGTCAATCAGTTTTATCACAACAATCAATAGTTATTTGTGTCAATGTTTTTAGGGAACAATGCAGCTCCACTGAACAAGCAGAATGATAATACTAGCAGAATGTAAAGGAAATATAAAATGACCAGAATGTTTCATGGTAAACTGCCTTTAACCTTAGTGCACCTCATACTGTATGAAATAGATGAACTACTGTATAAGTCAATCACAACATGCTTTATTGTTTTCTCTTTATAATTTATCAAAGATAGAAGCCTATAAAAATAAACTGTATGGTGTATGATTTTTATAAAAATTAAAACTGAAAGAGCCTGAGTCTCCTGTGTACTAATATATTTTCTCTGTTACTTCCAAGGAACACTGAGTCACAGTACGGAGATCATACAGTCCAAAAGCTGGGAATTAATATCTCAAATTCTTGCTCCTGATTTTTTTTGTATCAGTTATAGTGTTACAGGCAAGAATACTTATGAATATTTTGTTATATTGAAAATGTTTACTTTTGCATCAGGCAAGGCCCATCGTTTTGTCATGTAGCCTATTTTCATAGAGAGAGAAGTAACACTTTACATTAAGTGATGCAGCAAAAATGGGCTATTGTAATGTGCATTTACTTTTAAATTGTAAAAATTAAGTTTTGATTGGGTAAGTCAGACATTTGGGTGGGCTTAGCTAGAGCCTAGATGCCTATCTGGTCTCGGGCTCCGGTGTCCCTTTAATTAATGTGACAGTCATTGCTCAGGTGATATTTCAGTTTGTTGCGTTTTGATCATTTAATTTAAAGTCGGTCCCTTCTGGATTTGATTAAGAAATAATTTAAGGCCTTACTCCATCATTTACTGATAAATGAGTGCCCAACTACAGGATTATTGGGTATGTTTGAACATGTAATCATAGATATTTTTTTGTTCTCAAATGGCCATAATTTATGCTACCTTGTAGTTTTTATCTATATGTAAAGCCCTTTGAATTTTATGAGGAAGGGCATCAACATAATCCTTAAAAGTATGATGCAAGATCATATGACACATGCTCCACCTTAGCGGTTCTTCACAGTCCACACACACAAAGATACACCAGATGAACGATCAGACAACCACATCAACACAACTCATTTCATTTCAGGTGAAATATATTTAATTTATTATTTGCTCAGGTAACACCTATTATTATTTTAATTATAAAGTGTATCTTTATATACACACTTTGATATACATCAATTACAAATAACCAAAATCTTTTGACTTTTTGTGATATTTCATACCAGCTATTGTTTTAGTGTAATTTGTTGCTCATTTAAGTTTTTTTTTTTTTTTTTTTTTTGGGTTCTTTTTAAAACTTTTTTTTTTTTTTTTTTTTTTTTGG